ATATTCTTCAAAGAATAAGGAATATTTCCATATCGCAGATATGGAGGTATTCACCAAAGGGAAAAAGGAAAAGGAGTTCGGAGCAACTGACCTCCTATCCCTATAAATAAAGAGGACCTTGAAGCCAAGAAGAACAACTCATACAATCTAGAGAGCAGCAGAGCTAAAACCAGAGACTCCAACGCTTTCTAGTTTACCTCCCAAACACCCTTTTCACTTCGGCATAACCTCTCGGTTACACCTTTCTTGTAATCGCTTTGCTTTATTGCTATTAATAAAAGATCTTATTCTCCGAAACCCACAACTGTTAATCAAACTCTACTGGTGATTTTCTGAAACAAGTACAATCCTTATTCATAGTCTGAACGAGAATATGTGGTGAATTAAAATCCTCCATCATCTCTAGCATTAGTTACTTCACTAGCCATGTTCTCTGCTAATAGAGTAGATGGTATCTTAAGGCATAACAGAGAACAAACGAATATTGAAGAAAACCTGAAGAATTTATATGGTTCTTCCACTCTTTGACAACAATGGTACTGGCATGAGATTCTACAAAATATGAAATCTATTCTGGAGAAAAATTTGAACCTGAAAAAACAAGAAATGAGACCAAATTTATATCATTACATATTCTCTATAAAATTCACGTGTACTAATGAACAGATATACAAAGATGAGGATACCAAATCGAAACTAGAACAAATTACACAATAATCAAATATGAGAGGATAAACATCAAGAGCATCAAAATCAAACCAAGCGATATTGAAATTGAGCGACAAGAGACAAACCAAGAATTAGCCAATTTCTGATTCTGTAATTCACGTGCGCCGTGAAATCGATCAGCAAAGCATGTGCGATATGATTGATCAAACTAGAAGAAAATCCCGAGACACAGAAAAGAAGCCGGAAAGATCATGTCCCATTTCTACCGCATCCGAGCTGGAAGCCACTGAAGCCGAGAGCCCCTCGCTGAAGAAAGGTCATGTCCAGATTTTCTTCCCTCTTATTATTCCTAATCTCAACCATGTGATACTCTGGCCTCCACCGTCCCTCCTCCGCATTGACTGCCACTTTGTACCGATTCCGTCGGACCTCCGTCTTTTGCTAGGCCTGAGAGACATCATCACTTGATCGATTTGAAATCAGAAGAATCAGCAATCTGAAAATCAATAGGAGTTTTACAGATGAACTAGTGTTTTGCCCATGCTACACGTGGGTTGTATAATTATATTGTAGTTTTATAAAATATTGTCAATTAATTTTGTGTTTAATATTATGAAATTATAGAGTAGTATATTTGCATGTGATTCTTAGATATAATCGAGCGAAGTAAGTATCAGAAGGATGTATATATATGTGAAAAGATGATTGAAATTTTTGTATAATAATTTGAAAGTAGATTAATATACCTTTTGGCTTAGTTAAACTTTTTTTAAGAGTTAATGCATGTTTTTGCAAATATGAAGGGTAAAGTTTAACATTTTTGTATAATAATTTGATGTGTAATTTTGTTATATTTTTTGTTTATGTAAATAGTATCCACATGAACTATATATTATATTAGAAATCTATTGTCTAAATTTGGACATCTTATGTTATATTGCTATTTCTTTAGTGAACACCATGAGTTTTTTTTTTATATTTTCAAAAATATTTTGCATAAGCTTCCTTTTCGCTTGATGATTTTAAAAAGAAAAATTCAATCTTTACTCCATTTTTGTTTCATATTGTATCTTAGGATTTTGTTTTTAATTTTCATATAGTATGCATTTCTCTACTTATCAATTTTTTAACATTCAGTATGTACATAGATGTTTTATAATTAGTTCATATATTCAACGAAGAAAACAAATGGCAATTAATAATAAACTTTTTATTATATGAGTTCTTTATTAATTAATATAATATTTGTTTGATAGTTTAGCTAGCTCAATCATTTGCCAATATTGGTGAAGAGTGTGGAATTTATCGTTATATGTTATTTGAAAAAAAATCTTTTCAGTTTTATGTTTCATGAAACTTTGCAAATGAAAATTAAGAAACGGTGAGTAACTGTCTTTAATCACCGGTTCTTTAGTTAAGTTTTTACTTCAGTTTTTCGACAATGTCGGATTACAACGAACAATATGGAACTCTATATCAGCTTTAGAAACTTGAAATCTGTTATAAGTCAAAAAGTTACAATTGTATAAATTAATTTTCTCTAGACAAAAAAAAAACTGAGTCGCTCCTTAAGTTTTACTTTTGGCGAGAAAGACGTTCTCCAGTTCCAACAATACTATGATTCAGACTCATTCTACTCGATTCACATTATAAATATAAATGCAAAACAGTTGTGAGATTGTATTTTTATGTTGCTTACAACAATCTCAAGCATGAGACACATTAGACTTCATTTGTGATAGAGTTGTGTATTATTTATACCATATGTGGCTCATCGCTATGTCTTTTTTTTTTACATCCTCATTGCTATGTCTTTTGGATTTCCAAATGTTTATACTCTACTTATATAAGTTTTATTGTTTATAATCAGTTTGGTTGTCATTAATTAATAAGTAAGATTTGTATTTAGTAACGGCTGATTCCGTTTCTGGTGAGTCAGAGGCGAGATGATGGGAAAACCGAGAAGACGATGACTCCATAAAATAAGCTTTTGTTTAAGTTATATAATTGAGTTTTAGTGTAATTCGTTTTCAGTTTTTTTTAGCTTTGTTCTTTTTATTGAGAATTTAAGAATTATAAAAGTTTTTTTAGGTAAAATTTGAAGAAATTTTAATTAATAAATTATTTAATGAAATGGCTTTAAATTATTGGTTGGAGAATATGACATAATAGTTTTGAAATCTACTATTGGTTAATTATTTTTGTTGATGTGACATATTTTCTTATTCTTATTGGTTAGTTTTTTTTATAATTTAACGATGTGGCAATTTGTTATATTCTTATTGGCTGATTATTTTTGTCTATGTGGTACTTCTTAGAGAGCAGGAAATCTATCCCTTTTATATAAATGAGATTTTGCTTTTCAGAAAACGAAATGTACAAAAAGTTTTTTTTAATCTAAAACCCGATTTTTGGAAAAAAAAACAAAATTGACTAATCAGGTTACGACATGTGTCGGAAAAAGTGGAAAGAGTCAACCTCTCTGAGAGGCGATTCTACAACTATTTACATGCCAACTCATTTTTTTTCTTTTTCTTTTTTTCTTTTGTTTTTAATTTAAAAACATCACAGAAGTTTACCATTACAGATGCTTGTCCTGAAAACCCAAAAGATAACGGAAACAGTGTACAAGTCATCTTCACACGCCATTATCTTCTTTATCTTAGTGAAACCATCATTGAGAGTCTCCCTAATCTCATTCTCAAAGTGATACGCGAGACCAAGGCTCACAAGCAGATATATAAAAAGGATTTTCTTCTTGGTCGAGTCAATGCTTTTGGAAGACATTAACATGCCTCTCACTTGTGGCTTTAGCGCTTCGATTTCTCTTCCAAGCGCATCAATTTCCTTATAAAAATTAGGATACGTAAACATTATTTCATACGAGTGAGAGTGAGTGAGAGAGAGATCGACTTACTGAGAAATCAACATGAGCAGAGTCGAATTGATGACGCCATTCAGAAGGGCCCAACTTTCTGAACGTGCGCTTATTTTCTTTATCTTCGCAAGCCAAAGTATTAATAGTGGCTTTCAAAGGAACAAGATAAGCATGCTTACCGGGAAATGACGTCACCGGAAAGCGAGAGAGTTTGCATGCCGGAAATATATTATTGGTCTGAGAAGGAATAGAGAGTTTAGATCCAAGTTTCGGTTCAAAAACTCTTATGGCTTGAGGCTTCCATGTTCACAGTTCACCACTAATGATATGGGCATTGAGGTTTTATAAAGCAATAACTTAACAGAGAAGCAGATCAACTCTGATTTCCTTATGATTTTCCAATTAAATAACAGTTTTTTTTTTAGTTTTTCATGGCATGCCATCTCACATGGCTGACGCTTTTTAACATTATTTTTCTTCATTTTCAGCTTTTTCCATGGTGTGTCGGTTCACATGCATGGCAGCTAATTTTGCAAATTTGATATGTAAACTTTGGAAATTGGAATCTAGGTTTTACAAGCAAATAGATTAAAGATTTTCGTCATGCTCGATTTACTTCCTACGAACATGTCATATATTATATACCTTTATCTCTTCCACAAGCGCATCCATTTCTTTTAATATATAAATAAAAGAAATTTAAATAAGAGAGAAAGAGAGATCACTGAGGAACAAGATGACCATGCATGCATTCTTACCGGGAAATGACGTCACCGGAAACACTTCAGGTACAACAAGAAGAAAGAACATAAAACTAAATAACTTAGCTCCTAGCTCTGAGACGTGAACGTGACGACAAACACACGCAAGCTTAAGGAAGAAGACGAAAGCTTAAACTTGAAGACTCTTGACCGTGAGTCCGTGACTCTCTTCAATTCTCTTCCCTCCTCGTTAGGTTATACAAAACCCTAGCTTACATAACAAGCAAATGAGTGAATATATGGGTTTTAGGGCATCAGCCCAAACTTTAACCTTCTTCTCTTATACGATACTCTTATTTGGGTTTGAGCCCATTACTTGGATGTTCTGAGTCTCTGAGAGTTTGTGATTGGAGACAATATCATCTTCTCAACTGCAAATACAACTATTTTGTTAGTGGACCATCCATCATGATTCGGATTTAATTTTCATAAATATGATATTTTTTTAATATGACAGTGCGACTACTCTTTTTGTAGTGGATCATTTTATGAACATTCAGGCAACATATTACATTACCAAACATATGATTTGCTTTCTCATTTTCTTAGATATGGATGACATTTTTTTTATTGTCAGCGTAAATTATGAATGATTGGAATCGAGTTTTTTTCCCGGCCGACTGGGAACCGGTCCGAAACGGTTTAAATAAATTTGTCAATCTCTTAAAGGTGTGCCTCAATTCTCAAACCCACCCACCAAAAGGTAAATATTACATATTTGCCCCCCGAAAGAAAGTCAAATTACTCAATCAGCGGCGTTTTGGTTGTTTCTTCGCCAATCGCCATTATCGCGGCCTCTTTACCTTCTCGCCGTCGGTTCCCACCCTGTGACGATTCCGTCACCGATTGGTCCAGAGCTCGGAGATCTGATTCTCAACGTCGTGCTCTTTATTTAGTCCCAAATTTACACGGAAAAGAGGGAGGGAAGGTTGCTTTGATTCCTCTGGTCTGAGCAACTATGGGGTCGTCTCCTGAGATCATCGATATCTCTACTAGTGCTCGGAGAATTGGCGTGGATAATCGTATTTCTCTCAGATTTTACTTCAGGATCGCAGATAATATCCTCAAACAGGTTTCGTGCTCATACTCGACTTTTGATTTTGATTCACGTTTACTCTTTCGAGGGTTTCCTTTTGACCTGATGATTGCGATTGATGCTCTCCAACTTGTTGCCATTGCGTTATTGAGTATTTCCAAATTCATTTGCAACACACTAAACGTGCGATTGTTGTTGATGTGCTCTTTGATTCTCGCGTTTGTGTATATTTGACATATGTTTGTACTCTCACTAGCTCTGTAATGATAGTTCGATTTGAGGTATCAGCTTTGATTGGAAGTATGCATATGATCACGAGGGGACATAACATATTATTTGGTTTACATTCTATGAATGGGAAGAACTTGCCTTGGTCCTTTGACATTCATGCTTGTTTCGAGACAAATGGAAAGAAATTGTGATTCATGAGCTGCATCTTGTTAAACAAAAAATTCAATTTGATATTGGATTGGCTTTTCGTTTCCCTGAAAGTGTGATCCCTTTTTAGGCTAAAGTCATCTTGTTTAAGTTTCTAACATTATCTGCATAAACGTTTTGTAGGCAAACATATTTCGGGCAGAGAAGAATATCATTGATTTATATGTCATGCTTCTACGTTTTTCGAGGTGAGGATGGATAATACATCAGAAGGAATAGAAGCTGAAACTTGACACTCTTTGTAGAGAGTACAAGATCATAACACTTTGGTTTCTGAAATCAGTTATGTTTTTTTTTTTTTTCTCTAGCCTGGCTCTCGAGACTATACCCTCCCATCGAGATTACAGAACAGCTCTTAAAAGCAACAAAGAGTATTTGAGAATGGTGCTGGATATATTTCATTAGAATCCCCTGTCAATGTTTTGTCTATCAGTCAGTAGTTTGATGTGAGCTTTTATCTTGTCTAGAGACTACTTGATGTCTTGACTGAGCTGGAGAAGTTGAAACCAGTTGTACAGCAAAGGATCGATGAACTGAATCCCAAGCCCATACCTCGATATAATGTGCAAGCACATCCTGCAAATGGTTCCCCACAGTGGTCGTTGGCTGTAAAACCATCGACAAGAAGCTATGATCATGCGAAGGTATGCCTAATGCTTTACTCTTGTTAGTCCCATATTTCTAAACGCTATGCATCTTTTTCCGCTCTTGTTTCATTCTGAGACTTTTGGTTTCAGTTAGTAAAAATGTGATACTAAATTTTAAGCTGCTGTAGATAAACATTCCCTGCTCCTTTTTTATGTTTCTCTTTCTCGGCATAGGTGATAAATCCTACTGGACATAATTTTGGCTACGTGGGTTCCAGGGGTCAGCAGTTCTTGAACGCTGCACCACTTGAAGAGCGTTTCAGAAAGATGTATGTCTCAGTTTTTATTTCTTAACAATGTTCTCAATGGAAGATCTTTGTTATGTTTATCACACTGTTTTTCTGGTGTCATGGTCCTGTCTTATAGATTTTATTACTTGCATCATTTATCTAGGTCAGTGAACTTTATCCGACCAACAGATGAAACCCTTTCCAAGCACTCTATCTTGGGTCCAAATGGACTCCGTGCACAGTGGCAGCCTCCGAAGAATGATATAAAGGTATTATAACATGCTTCTTTTTTATCCACTTCTTCACACTACGCTGCTGATTTTCTTCTTCTTTTTTTTTTTTTTTTTTGTATTATCCAGGTTCAATATCCAAGCAATATAGATTTTTCGCCAGTTGAAATCCCAAGGTTAGTCCATATAGCTGCTTTTGAAGAATTATGTACATTTGGATTTTGCATATCAAGAGATTTTGTTTTATTGCTTACATTTTCTACTCACTTTCTCCAACTTTCGTCACTTGAACATTTTCATTCCTTTGTGTTAATCTTGACTATTGTTGTTCTCTATCTGAAACAGCTTCCAGAAACTCTTGGATAGTAAACCAATGTTAACAAACGGCAGTAACCAGGAACCTGAGAGGCCAGTTGTCGAATCAAGTTCTAATCCAAGTGAAAATATCAAGAAAGATTACACTGATGAGCTTTCGTCCATGATATCTTTCGAAGAACCAGAAGGAGTTAATGATAACAATATCATTAGGCAACCTTCACCACCTCCGGTGCTTGCGGAAGTTCAAGACTTGGTTCCTGCTTTATGTCCTGAAGTTAGAGAAGCGGAATGTAACATAGAAAACCCTTTGCCAGATGAGTCTCTACGATCGGAGTCTCCTCTTGAACTCCATATTGTAAGTTTGTTATATTTCTCCTCTCTTTGTGATATCATTCTGATATCAAAGCTATATATATTTTCTGTAGCTTTAGTCCTATGTGATACTAGATTCGTGTTGATGATTATGTTTATTTGCAGGCAACAGCAATGATGGATACCTTTATGAGGCTTGCCAAGTCAAACACTAAAAAGAATTTAGAGACGTGTGGTATTCTTGCGGGCTCACTAGTGAGTTACATGATATTCCTATCGCATTTATAATTTTCAAATTCAAAAATGTGATGTAGAGACTTCGCTCATGAAACTGGATCAGCAATACTGATCTGTGAATCACTTGTGTGCAGAAAAACAGAAAATTCTATATTACAGCTCTCATCATACCAAAGCAGGAATCAACATCTGACTCTGTAAGTTCAGTCTTTGTTTTGGTATTTTGACAAAGTTTTATTCATATACATTCACTTATCTCTCTCTCTCTCTCTCTCTCTCTCTCTCTCTCGCTCTCTCTCTCTAGTGTCAGGCCACAAACGAAGAGGAGATATTTGAAGTACAGGACAAGCAATCCCTTTTTCCACTTGGATGGATTCATGTGAGTAAATATGATTTTTTTTTATCTCTACCTTCTTTATGCTTGATGATCAGTCTTAGTTAGTGTATCATTTTTTTCTTTTATTGCTAGCTTAAATTGTTTTACTGACTCACTGTCTCCACTTCTTCAGACGCATCCAACACAGTCTTGTTTCATGTCATCCATTGATGTTCACACACATTATTCATACCAGGTACTGAAAGAATCTTTTTACAATGGAATCACTTTTCTCCACATAAAAGAAATCATAAACCCTCAAATGCAATGCTTTTTTTTTTTCCTTCAGATTATGTTACCGGAAGCCGTGGCAATCGTTATGGCGCCACAAGACTCTTCAAGGTACTAAACAAACAATATACTTACAATGTTTCTGTTCAAAAATGAAATGATTGGAGAAACCTAAAGTGATTCTTTTTTTTAGGAATCATGGAATATTCCGGCTGACAACGCCAGGAGGAATGACGGTGATAAGGAATTGTGACCGGCGTGGGTTTCACGCGCACAGTTCGCCGGCAGACGGAGGACCAATTTACAATACGTGTAAGGAAGTTTACATGAACCCAAATCTCAAGTTCGATGTCATTGATCTCCGATAGCGTCACTTGTGCCTTCGAAAGTACATCTATGTTGTGTAAAAACCATATTTTTCACGTTTGTAACAATGTCTTATTTGTTTATATCCGATTTTAAGTATTATCTACTTCCGTTCGTGTACAATTTACATGTAAAACTGAGAAAAAAAATATTCAATAACGAGAAAAATTGATGTAACTAAAGTTGACAAGGTATACTTTATAAAGCCTTTATATATGTATGTTTTTGATGGGGAAACTCAAAACAATTATTGTGATTCATCTTATGATTAAAATGGGGGAAATGTCATCTCCAATTTCTTAAGTACAAAATTTTTTTATGTTAATCACTTAATTATTGAATAACTAGGTAATAATCTGCACTATGTGCGAGATAAAATAATTATTATTTATTTAGATTTATTATAATTTTAAAATGATATTATATAATATAATTAAATTTATATGAATTTTATATAATATTATACTATAACATTGATAATATAGCTTTTTATAAAATATAAAATAATTTAATTGTAATGTAAATTAATTTAAATTAATTTAAAAATTAAGTAGCATGCATAACACATGATATAGCTCGGTAAAAAATATGAAGTTACCATACATATTTTCTATATCCCATAATTGATAATATGATTTATTATTTCTACCAATGTCTAAAATTTAGGTATACAATATTTATGTACATATTTAATTATTTTTGACTATTAAATAATTAAATATTATTAGTTAAATAGTTTGTTATTTATCTATTAAATATTATTAATTAAATAAATTAATAAATTTTCTTAGTCTCAAATTGGACTTGTTCAAAATATGATACAAATCGATAATATAATATTTTTTAGGAAAATCTATATAAATATATGGTTCCATTAATATCATAAATTAATAATTACTATAAAATAATTTTATATAAATATATAACTATGATAATTTACTAAAATATGAATATATAATGGTTTATTTTTTAAAATTGAAATAGTATTACGGTTCATCTTATGATTAAAATGGGGGACATGTCATCTCCAATTTCTTAAGCACGAAAAAAACTGTTATGTTAATCACTTAATTGTTGAATAACTTAAGATAAGTGAATGGGTCAGGTTAGACTTGGCTTTTCAACTACTGTTTAACAGTTGTTTCATGTTGGTCGCTTTACACCTTATTCCATTAATATACATTTCTATATTGTTCTGTATATTAAATCATATGTGCACCCATCATCTTTGGTGTGTCTATAGTAATTTTGTATGTGTATGAAGGTGTTACCCACATCTTACTAATCTCTTTAATGAAATTTGATAGTAGAGTCTACAATTTCAATAAAACTTGACAATACATTGAGCATTTCATATGTTAAAAGATAGGTTCTATAAGATAGATAGGCTCTATAAGATAGATATGATTGACCACTAAAAAATGTGTGTACAAACAAAAAAAAATCAAACATCCAACAATTTGTAGACACAATCGAAAGTGGAAAAATGATAATTTATCCAAACTCTGAATCTCTCTTATTCTTGTGACCATCTCTACTTCTTGTTCTTCTTCTTCTTCGTCTTGTCTTTCGAATGGCGTAAGATCGATCCTAAACCAAACGTAGATGAACCATTAAGGACAGGAATGACAGAAAAGCTTCCTCCTCCTTCACCTTTCTTTCCTGCGTTCTTTTGTGGCCTAAACTGATACGCATTGCAACAGATAGAAGGAGAAGAAGACGTAGAAGAAGGCCTATGGTTGTTAACATCTCTCAGCATTGCCCTCTTAGAGTTAGTAACCGAACCTGTCGAGTTGCTTCTCGTGAGCCGAGGGAACGAACATATCAGACTCTTCTTTATGTCGCAGTTTAGGCTCGAGCTTCTCTTGAAACTCCAAAACGACTTCGACGACTTCTCTGCTTCTGAGTCAGAGTTTGCTCCGCTCGCTCGACCGCTGGTTTCTTTCTCGCTGTGTTTTGCGGGTAAAGGCTGTGGCGAAAGAGGAGATGGAGAAAGGGATGATGTAATGGGAGGGAGCTCGTATTTGTAGAGACGTTTTGGAGCAGTGGAAGCAGCGGTTACGTGGAAAGGAAGGATCATGCCGTCTGCAAAGATCTCATCGGCTGGTGAGGAGTCCCCGGGATCAAAGTTGTTTGAGATATGGAACTCGAAAGAGTTTGATGAATCAAGAAGAGTTTCGTCTCTTCGGATAAAGCCGGATGATTCTATTACAGGTGGTGGTGGTGGTGGTTCGGATTGGCCAAGATCACTGGAGAAGGAAATCCGCTGGTGATTTGACTCCGTGCAGATCATAGTAAGAAAAAGTCAAGTGAGTGAAAAATGATCTCAAAATTTGTTTTGGAACAATGGAAGTTGAAGTTTGGAATAAAAAGTTGGTGGGGAGAAGTTTAAGCTTCGAATATAATAAGGGAAGGTGTGATCTGCCTAAAGATTGTGGTGAGCCACTCACTATACTAGAGGAGGCAATATCATAATAGTAATGTGAAACGTGACCATCCTTACCAGGTCATTGTTCAGCATAAATACATATAAGATTGCTGTCTGGATCCTCTCGAACTAAAGAAATCTTTGTACTTGGACGTATCAGAGACGAAAGGACCTGTGTGAACCTCATGTCAATGTGAGCATGTCAAACAACAACCATGTGATAGCACAAATGTTGTTTCTTGTTTTGGCATCAAGAAACTGCACATGCAAGATATGAAGCTCCTAGAGATTTGCCAGATCATTATCTGTATGATCACGTTTGCGTAATGTTTGCAAACAGCAACTTGTTCAATTCTTGAAAATGGTCAACAGGGGAACATAAGATTCAACAAACGGTACACCATCTGTAACTTGACATTTAATATAGACAAATAAACCATGTTAACCTCAGATATGCAAGCTGTTTATACATCATCCAAAGTTTGTAACAGCACAGACATTTTTGATCTCCAATACACACCATTGGTGAGAAGAACAGCACGTTCTTGAAACATACTCAAGAGCAAGAAGATTCATTGTCAAGATCTTTGCACAACCTTAGCCGTTTATATACCCACAATGTAAACAATAGAGACTAAAGACAACTTTTTTTTATATGAAAGATAAAGAAAGTTACAGAGAGACACTGAAGCATCTGCATCATTAAAAACAAACAGCCGGGGAGATTACAGTTAGACCATTACTATCATCTTCTAAACTAAACATTATGAATGAGCTGATAATATCCGTATTTAGAAACCAGAAATTTGGGTTTCTTCACGGAATCAATACATTGCTACATTTTTTACCGTTGCTTACAATGAAACAAACTTGAGAATATCTCAAAGTAGAACAAGAACAGAGAAACACAAAGAAGCTGATACATTTTTTTTTGCTAACAAGTAAACACCTTTTCACGTTTCCACAGCTTCAGGGACATTATATGCATCTGTTGTTACTTCCTCTGACAACCACAATCCAGGAAAAATCGTCTGCAAACATAAATTTCCAGAGATATTAGTAAAGCTTGGATTTTTCGATTTTTTTTTTTCTCAGAGAAACCCATAGAATTCAATTTGCGATGAGACTTACATTCAATTTCTTCTGAACGATTCTTGGTCTCTTCTTAGGTCTCCTCGGTGGTCTTTTCCCAATCATGGTCGAAAAATCCTCTTCGATTTCTTGTTTCAGCAACGAAACGGAGAATTTCAGTTTCTCATCCTTCTCCATTTCGTCGTCGTTACCTCTCCTCACGCCAATTTCATTTCCGGGGATCTTCACCGGCGATTCTTCTCCCGGTTCACTGCACGCAGCTCTTCTCGTCCTCAGATTCCACGGTCGAGCCGCCGCCACGACTCCAAGCTTCTCGTTTGAAACTCCGGCGACGGCGACGGATCTGTTGGCTGCGTGATCAGGAGAAGGAGACGGAGAGGAGGAAGAGGAAGGAAAATGAGGAGATCGGTGATGTGAATGTGATGGAAGATTGACGCATCTGAGGAATCTCTGTTGACCCCAACGGAGATAAGGCAAGGTGAAGTTGTGGAGGCGTTTGGATCTTTCAGGAGGAGGCTCCATTGAAGAAGAACTTTGCGTCTTCTTCCTTTCTTTTCGCCCTTTTGAAGATTCGATTTTTCTTCTTCTTCTCCTCCTCCTTCTCTCTCGTCTTGTCTTTTGTTGAGCTTCGAGCAGTTCAAAGTTTTTTCGTATTTATTCTCTGCATTATTTGTTTTTTTATTTTATATTATTGTAACGTTGTGCGATTTTTAGTAAGCTTTATTATGTAATGAAAACTAAACACCCATTATTAAACAAAGCACTAAACTATATAATTAGTAACATGTCAAGTAGTGTGGATTTTTAACTATGAGATGATGGTGAAGGTAGAACAAATTAAGAGACGATGATGACACAGAGTAGTACAATTTGGGTTTTGGGCCTTTTGACTTCGAAATGTTTAAGAATGTTTCATAAAATTAAAAAGGCCCACTATTTCTGCTAAACAAAAAAGCCCATAAAGCCTTTCTCCTTCCTCTTTTCTTCTTCCCATTTCTTCGCCGAGATCGGGAGTTTCGCGACGTCGTCAGCTTGGAAAAACCCTCGAATCTGAACTCTGCAAGTCCAATTCATGGCTCCTTGAGACTAATTACAGATTAAGCACTAAGGAATTTATCAGGATCTCTGCAAAACCACCGGATCAATGTCGTCTTCCACTTCTCTGATGGACAACCTGTTCCAGCGAAGCCTCGAGGATCTGATCAAAGGCTTTCGTCTCCAGCTCCTGGGAGAATCAGCTTTCATTTCCAGAGCACTAGATGAAATCCGCCGCGAGATCAAAGTGACAGATCCCTCCACTAAATCCACAGCCCTTCACAAGCTCACTTACCTCGCCGCACTCCACGGCGTCGACATGTCGTGGGCGGCTTTCCACGCCGTAGAGGTCGTTTCCTCTTCACGATTCCAGCAAAAGAGGATCGGTTATCAGGCGATCACCCAATCATTCAATGACCAGACATCGGTTCTGCTTCTGATCACAAACCAGGTGCGAAAGGATTTGAACAGTGCTAACAAATACGAGGTAAGTCTCGCTCTCGAATGTTTGTCTAGGATTGGAACTCATGATCTAGCTAGGGATTTGACTCCTGAGGTGTTTACACTCCTGGGTAGTAGCAAATCTCTCGTCAGGAAGAAATCAGTCGGTGTGGTTTTGAGGGTTTTCGAGAAGTACCCTGATGCTGTCAACGTGTGTTTCAAACGTCTCGTTGAGAATCTTCAAAGCTCTGATCCGCAGATTCTCTCTGCCGTCGTTGGATTGTTCTGTGAGCTCGCCGCAAAAGATCCTACCTCTTGTCTTCCATTAGCTCCTGAGTTCTATAAGATACTGCTAGATTCGAGGAACAATTGGGTTTTGATTAAGGTTCTTAAAATATTTGCCAAGTTGGCTTCGATTGAGCCAAGGTTGGGTAAGAAAGTCGCTGAGCCGATCTGTGAACATATGAGGAGGTCTGTGGCAAAGTCTCTGGTGTTTGAGTGTATTAGAACCGTGGTGAGCAGCTTGAGCGATCACGAAGCAGCTGTGAAACTTGCGGTTGCAAAGATCCGAGAGTTTCTGGTGGAGGATGATCCGAATCTCAAGTATCTCGGTTTACACGCCTTGTCGATCGTTTCTTCAAAGCACTTGTGGGCAGTTTTGGAGAACAAAGAGGCTGTTGTCAAGGCTCTGAGCGATGAGGATCCAAATGTGAAACTCGAGGCATTGCATCTCTTAATGTCGATGGTGAATGAAGATAACGTGTCGGAGATGTCGAGGATTCTTATGAATTATGCACTCAAATCTGACCCTGTGTTCTGCAACGAGATTATTTCTTCTGTGTTATCGTCATGCTCCAGAGATGTATATGAGATCATAGTTGACTTTGATTGGTACTTGTCTCTTCTTGGTGAAATGGCTAGAATCCCGCATTGTCAGAGAGGTGAAGAGATCGAGCATCAGATGGTCGATATTGGTGTGAGGGTCAGAGATGCTAGACCGCAGTTAGTTCGTGTTTCTTGCGCACTTCTTATAGATCCTGCGTTGCTCGGTAACTTGTTCTTGCATCCGATATTAGCAGCCGCTGCGTGGGTTTCAGGGGAATACATTGAGTTCTCTAAGAATCCATACGAAACCGTGGAGGCGCTTCTGCAACCGCGCACTGATCTCTTGCCGCCTTCCATAAGAGCCATCTACATACATTCAGCTTTCAAACTTCTTGTCTTCTGTCTCAAGTCTTACTTATCGGCAGAGGAACCCACTTCGTCATCCTTGTCTCAGGAGTCTAGTTTTGGCTCTTCCCCAATGAATGCTTTCACACATGAATCGATATTGAATCTGGTGAATGTGATGGAGCTTGGTTTGGGGCCGTTATTTGGAACTTACGACGTGGAAGTGCAGGAGAGAGTGAAGAATGTTTTAGGATTCATTGGTATGATAAAGCAAGAAATAGCTGAGAAAGTAAACCCACAAGATAATGAAACCGAAGCTTATAGAGTTACAGCATTCATGGACGATGTGTTCTCGGAAGAGCTCGGCCCTGTTTCTGCAACTGCACAGGATAAAGTATGTGTACCGGATGGGCTAGAGCTGAAAGAGAATCTCAGGGATCTGGAAGAGATCTGCGGTGAATCGGATTCGGTTTCATACACTGACAAGATAAGCTTCTCTGTCTCCAAACTCAGAATCAGAGATGAACAAGAAGCCTCGTCATCTTCATCTCATCCACCTGAAGGTGCTGCTGCTGCATCTCTGCTTGAACACCGAAAACGCCATGGCATGTATTATCTTACTTCTCAGAAGGACGAACGAAATAGCAACGGCACGCCAAGCGATTATCCTCTGGCAAATGAATTAGCAAACGAGTTATCCCTGGATTCGTTTAACCCCAAGAGAAAGCCATCTAAAGCTAGACCTGTGGTGGTTAAACTCGACGAAGGAGATGAATCAAGAATCGCTCCTAAAGCAGAAAAAAATCCAGAGACTGTAAACGGCGATGAATCTTTGTCCCGAGCGATCCAGACAGCTCTTCTGGCAAAGAACAAGGGAAAAGAGTTAGAAGAGGAAGAGAGCTCGAGAATAGAAAATCACGAGAGCTCGGAGAAGACGAAGAGGAAGAAGAAGAAGAAAAAGAAGAAGAATGAGGAGAGAAGTAGTAAGGATAAATCGAGACGGCAAGGCGAGGTAGCTTCTGTTTCAGAACAAGTTATAATCCCAGATTTTCTCTTGTGATGAGGGGAGTGAAAGATAAACTAATTTGTGTTTTGAGTATCTGTAAAAAGAAAAAGAAAATGTTCTTTAGGTATCTGTCTCTGTTTTCATACACAGAAACGAAACGAAATCTGTTGTGTAATTCTTTTTGTGTATAGCAATTTTTTTTTATGTATTTGTTACTTGGTTTCCGTTATAATCTGTAAGACGGATTCGAAGAAAACAGTTTTCTAAAAGGACATTTATTTAATTTTTCAAGTGAAAGTACATATTCTGTAAGATAAGAAACTTACATAACATTCTGATTCAAGCAGGTGAAATCTACAAGCTAACCAGCTTTGCTAGATTTTCAGTCTGTGATTGTGTGTGTGTTTATGTTGGCCAAGTGTTACCGTTGGCCGCTGAGTTTCTGCAATAAGCGGATAATGTTAACATCTCAAGGCTGTTGGAACTTGTTATTCTTCTGCTTTTATCATTATTACATTACTTTGATTACGTTTGAAGATTTAAACTTTTTATGTTCATATCAGTCTGATTTTTTTAAAATGGACTTCTTCATCATTTACAAACTTTGTATGAAGTATTCAGGAGGAAAGGGAAAAATTTGAGCTTTCTATGTTCGTTTATTCTTAAGCTTTCTATAGACTAGACTGCAGAGTGCCTTCAAGACCATATTTTCTTGTTTCAATAGGGCTGATGTTCTCTCTCTATATATCCATAGTCTTTGTTTGTGTTTTTTCCCAAATAGAAAATAGTGATGCAAAGAGTTTTGAGATTCCCAAACTAAGAAATTCAGCAGAAAAGCAAATACAATCGATGGCTCAACTTTTAGTTTCTAAAGTGCAAAATGAATCCATTTTATTTCCATTGAAGGTGCTAGTTTAAAATGGTCCTTCAGGCAGTGGCGGTAGTACTCTTGCAAACACCGGAGGAGGTGGGGGTGGTGGTGGTGGGGCTCTCCCACACTTCATAGGAGGTGGCTGTCGACAACAAAAATGCCTAAACGGAGGTGGTGGAAGTGGTGACTTGAATGCTCCAGGCTCTGTATAATTGCCTTGCTTGATATTCTCTTCTTGAGCTTTCTTAAACAAGTTTAAAAATTTCAAGTGGATCGCAGTAACTGCAGCAAAAATCGATTGTTATTATTAGCTATGTATAACAACTTTCTAGTGTATATATATATTCACAAGTTTATATTCCGCGCCAAACCTTGTTCAAATGGAAAACGGTACGGATCCTCGAGGATCATTTTACCACTCGAGTCTCACCAATGGGGATGAAGTCCTTCAATGTCTGTTATTGAAAACATACGCTAGGTTTTAGCCTAAGAATCATTTTACTATATGACGAGGATTTAGCATGGTACAATCAATGAACTAATCTCAAATTTATGATGATTGATAAAAATATGCAGAAAAAATAAGAACATACTTTATGGAAAACTTCAAAAACCGGACAATCACTTTTGGATGCAGTGAGCTCCTGGTCCATCTTTTCCAATCCTATGCTTATAACTTGCATTTCCTCAGCCAGTGACTTCAAATGTATCTGAATCAACGGGGAACAATCAAATGATGAGCCAATTACTACAGCTAAGGAAGGAGCACAAATGCAAACCTTTGAAGCGGATTCAAGACTTTCAAGATCCTTGTGGAAGTCAAGTAAGTGTGATGCCTTGTAAGTAAGGACCTGGAAAAAGAAAGAGGAAGAGTTTCAAAGATTATATATGAATGTATCCTTTTCTCTTTGATTTGTAATGTACCTTGCAAAGATAATGCATGAGAGTCATCTTGCTGTTAGGAACACATGTATCGCTTAATTTCAATAAACTTTCCAACTTATATCCCACAGCATCGCCTTCAGAAAGCAGAACAAAGGTCTTATCAACCACAAAGGATTTTGTTTGGTTAAATTTTACAGTGTTGCGTTAAGATATGTCTAATAAGAATAATATTACTTAACACAAACACTTGGTTAAATTTTACTTGTTATGCTAAGAAATGTCGAATAAGAATTATATAATACTTACCCTTTGCAGTTCCTTGGTTTAATGCGTTCCCCAGGTGAAGAATATGTTTCATAATTTCTTTTAGCTTTCGTGAAGAACGGACCTGATGAACAAGCAATGAGGAGAAGAAAGTCTAAGGGCGAGAATTGCACGTGGACTGTACAGAAACTAGGGTTTATTAAATGCATGCAACTTACTTCCTCACATGCAGAATTTACCACATTTAAACTTTTTTCAAACTCTGTTATCTGCACAGTAACAAACATCATTACCAATATTAGGACAAAGAATCTAGAGTTAGGTAGACCGACACTGACGAAACCAAAACGTTTCCTCTAAAGAATCAGATAGATATAAAAGAACAGTATTAAGTAATACCACCGGACCTGAGTGCTGAATTGAATCTTGAAGAAAAATACTCTCAGCTTTGATTCTACTCGTGGCACTTTCATTAGCTCTAGGAAAAACTGTGGTAACATAATGGATGAGAGAAGAAAATGCATTAGCTAAGCAAATTGTTAAAAATCAAATTAAAACAATTTTGTAGTAAGAATCAAAAACAGTGTGAGATAGTAATATCAAGATTTAAGCAGACCTGCTCACACTTTCCCAAAGCTGCCTTATCACCACTGTAGTTCTACAGCAAAATAGCCAATAACAACCAAGAAACAAGTACTTGTGTTAAAAAAAAAAGCGAATAAAGAGAGGAGTAAATAATGCTACTCAAAAGAAAAGAGGCAACCTTAAGCATTTCAATCTCTTTCTTGGTTGGACAAAACTTTATAAGATTCTCTACTTGATCAATATCTAGTACTGACTCATCCATTGCCAGAATTGCAGCCTGATGATGCATATAAAACAAGTGAACAATCATCATCATTATATACAATATTTTAATTTTTAACTCAACTTAAGTAGGTTTTGGAGCTTACCATCATATCAGGCAGTGGAATCTTTACTTTCGTAAGCAGAATTTCCATGTTATTGGCTCTCCTAAGGTCAATCTGATAAACCATAAGAAAAACAATTACATCAAGTATTCAATCACAGAAGCAAAATAGCAAGTTGAAAATGTTTAGAATTACCAGTCCAACATTTTCAGGTTTTGCATTCGTTTTCAGTCTCTCTATTTCTGATGCATCAAATATTGGTGTACTAACAGAAAAGAAGGAAAAAAAAATGATGTTTAATTGCAAAACCAAATTAGTGCAGAAAGATAGATTAAGTTAGTCTAATACGTTTTAGTTTGTCCAAATCTCTGTAACTGGTGCCATAAGCTTCCCTCCAAGGGACTTGGTATTTTAACCCAGTCTAATAATGGCTTCAGAGAAATCTTTTCTCTCAGAGGAAAAGTACACATAGAGGGCTTTAAGGTCTCTAATTCTGATACATCAACTTCTGGTGCACTAGAAGAAGAGAAGAAGAAAAAAATGATGATTAATTGCAAACCAAATAGTCAACAAATAAAGGTGCAAGAGGAATGCAAAGATAAAGTATAGTCCAATACGTTTGTGCTTCTCCACGTCTCCGTAACTCGTCCCTTAAGATTTCTTGTAATAATTTCTTTGCAAGTGGACGGGGACAGGGAGGAGGAGGTGGTGGTGGTGGAGGCAACATGGTTCCGCTGTTTGGTCTCTCAAATACAAGTAGAGGAGGAGGAGGAGGAGGAGGTGGTGGTGGTGGTGGAGGCAATATGGTTCCCCTATTTGGTCTCTCATCTTCTGTTGCGGCATCAGAGCTAGAAAAAAGTACCTGAGACATATATATGAGAGTATGCACATTCAACAGAGGATCAGAGAAATTTTTCACAATGGGCTTACCTCTGCCTTAAACTCCTTTGGGAACTGGTTCTTGGTATCCCAAAGTATATCCATCTCATCCCGTTGGACCATCAAAATGTTATCACGTAGAAATTCGGTGTGGAACATGATTCTGAAGATCATCTCCTCACGCACCAAATCGTCATGCAAGTGTACACATTCCAGAACAACATCCCCTTGAACACGGCACTTGATATCTAGTTTCACCTTGATACACTCTTCCTGCGAAAGAAAATACATATATATGTATATTAGCTAAACAATGTCCTGAACATAAATCATGATCACAAAAGATACCTGTTTGTAGAGACGAGTGTGCTTCTCTATCTTTGGAGTGGAAAAGAGAAGCATGGAACTCGTAAACCCGTAAAATCGTTCTGCAACCTGTTCAGGGTGCTCACCATAAACCCTTAAAATCGGTCTGCAACCTTGACTCTCTTCAAAACATGGAAGGTCTCTGAGAATCAAGCAATCCAAAAGAACCGGCGTGTATGAAGGACGCCAAACAGAGTTGAAATCTCTTGTAGAAATGTAGTGAAGATATCTTAGTTGAGAAGGCTGCGGATTCAGCGGAGACTAAAGGCGAAGAAGCTCCATGGGAGCATGTCTTTGTACCATCTCAAGAGTCTCTAGCTCGCCTTGACACTGCTTACTGTACAACAAAAGCCCTGATAACATAAAAGCAAGAAGAGGCCAACCACTTCTTTCACAATGCATCAACATAACATTGTCTTCTCTTTCTTGTAATGATGAGCAGCTGTCGCTCCAGCTTAGGAAGAGATTCATCGTTTCGAGAGGTAAAACCGGACAACTCTCTTAGTGACTAGGATAATCCATTACTTTCATGTCGTAATAAGACAACACATCTGAGATTCGACTCCGCTTTTCTCCTTCTTCTCCAAAGTTGAACACCATGAAAAGACCATACGGAAAATGATGATGTAGCTGTGCTGCGATGTCACCGAAATACGCTTTGTACTCATCCGCTCCCATTGCATTGCTCGAGAAACAGCAGTCAAAAACTGCAAAAGAAGAAGAAAAACAAGACAAGAAATAAAGAGACTAGCAAACTAAAAAAACTTCAAGATCTTAAGTTGTTGTTCATAGCTTTTTGTTTGTGTAACAATGGAGTTTATTATTCTAAAGCAAACAGAGAGTAGTAATACCATAGAGGCGCTCTGCGATCTCGACAAGTCCATCTGGAGCTCTTTTGGACAGCATCATTTGACCGGGAATCAAACAGAAGATCTAGCTAGTAGGACAACATGAAGCAGGTTGTTCTTGATTGCTCTAGTTCTTGATTACCAAACACCAAATCACCTTATTCACCGATTTATATCAACTAACCAAATACACTGATTACAGATCCAAATCGCATTAAATTGACTTGTGAAAAAGACTTTGTCAGAATTCGAAGGTCGAAGTACAGCAGACGACACCCATACCATCTAGGCAATTGATTGATATTTAAATTAAATTAAGAAAAAACACAAAGCGTAGTAAAATAAATTGGAATAAAGTGCTAAATAGTAAATACAGTATAATGGAGTATCTCATTAGTAAATATAATTATAACTGTACCTTTTTAATCGTATTTAAAATTTTATTTAAAACAATCTTATTTAAAAATTTAGAATGTAAGAAAAAAAAACATTGATATCATTTGTTTAAATAGTTTGTTTGACAATTTTAATGTGAAATTGAAACCTCTAATAGAAATATTGTAATAATTTTTTGAGTGTGCCTTCAATATGCTATTAGTTTGATTTTAATCTGTTACTAGGTGATCGGTCGGCACCGTGTACAGATTATAAAATAATTTATATGTTCAATATATAATTACTATAGTTTATTGAAGATATTTTATTTATACATGATTAATTATGAAATTATAATAATATTATATAAATATTTAATAATAAAATAACGATAAATCAAATAAAAATGTTATAGATTTCAATAGAAATTAAAGATAAAAAAAATATTAACAAAAAATTAAAAATACTTCCTTAGATAAAAAGTGTAAATATGATAACTAAATAAACTGAAAAATATATTTTAATTTATTTAATTTTTATTTTTGCCCCATATGCATGTGCAGATATAATTTTTTTATAAACATAATTAGTAATAATATTTAAATATTTGTTAATTTTCTTATACATTATGTGAACATTATGTTTGTATACATATACACTTTTAGTGTTTAACAACAATCACAAAATGTTTCATATTTTTTGTATCTTTTGGAAACTTTTTATTTTTTTTAGCATTTACAGTAATATATAATTGTAAATGAAAAATTTATATTAAATAATAGTTAAATTCTTATAATATGTTTTGAATATTATCCATATTATGCTTTCTTTTTCCCCTTACATAATAAAATCTTGCCAATATATATATTTTAAGTATACATTTTATGTTGATCTATTGTTAATTAAACCAAAATAGGTTTTACCATTTTACTTAACCTAAGAGCGGTGAGGTGCTTGTATACGCAAGAATATATAGAGATTTAAAAAAATATATATATAAATTGACAAATAACTAAAATTAAAAGTAGACTGTATCGAGGTTAACAAAATGTATGCACGACAAGTTCGCATGCGTCTTTGACTTTTGCATATCTACCTTTGATAGATTGACTAATTTTGATTTAGATCTACATGCATATTTATGAAAAAATCGAAGTATGGCTTTTATGTGTTAAATAAAAATAACAAAGTATATGTTTTGTAATATATATTTTTATAATGTATAGTTGGATATTTTTTTAAACAATAATATGTATATTTATGTATGTAGTTATGAGTTAGAAATAAGTGAATTTTAATATTTAGGTGTTGGTTAGTTTTTCTGATATTTTCCGCAAACTTTTACACAATACAATTTTTGGCGTATAACAACAATCACAAAAACCGTACCTATCGTTTTGTATTTAATCAAAATTTCTTATTTTTCAGCGTATTATGTATTATGATATATGGTTTTTCAATCAAAAAAATAATAAAAATTTATTATAAAATTTGTGAAATCATATTTTATAAAATTTTCTTGTAGCTCTCCGCTCATCTATTCGTCAAAATGTTTATAGATTGCAATCGCTCGCTTCCACAAACTCTCTGTAATCTTAGTGTTTAAACCAGTTGGATCTAAACTTATATGTGTATGATTTAAGGTGTAAAATAATATATTTAATATTCGGCAGTTATACTAAAATTTAGGAGTTCTTGTGAATCTATACAAAACTTGATTCATGAAATAATGTTTTAATATATTGAAAAAATATATGCATGAAATAATTAATATGTGTAAGATAATATATTTAAATATTTTAAATAAAAACATAAAATCGATCAAAATTATTCTTTTTTTTTGTCTTCTTTGACTCGTATTGTTTTTTCTTAACTTTGAAGGTAAAATATATTAAATATTAAAATCATCTTCAATGTATTTTTCTATTTTTTTCCTTTAAAATATAGGTGGATTTCTCTCTAACCCATGTCTATGTTACAGAAAAAGAAAAATTGTTAGTTTTTCCTCCAATTAAAAGTAGGTTGAAGATGCTTTAAACCAAAAATAGCCTGAGATTTTTACAAAATACCAAAGTCGTAAAGATTCATTTTTAATTTTATTTTTACTCTTACTTCTACTTCTTATTCATATATACAATATTATAAAAAAAAATTGCTAAAAGGATACTTATAATTTGTTTTTTAAAATTTATAATTTCAAATTATTACTATATAATGAGAATGCATTCACATATGTTATAAATATTTTTTATTATTTAAAAAAGATTTATTTAGTTTTAACTTAACCAATCAAAATATTTCATTTATTTTAGAAAATTTATCATTTCACATTTTCAGGTCATCATTAATTTATACCAATTTTTCTTTTGGTTGCGACACATCAGCCTTCTTTTATTAAAGCTGTTTATCAAATAATATTAAGGATTAGTTTACTTTTAATCTTTGTATAATGAATTGGTTTGTTTTTAAACTACATTTAATTGTCTTTAATCTGCAATGAAAAAATAGCTATAACTTGATATTTATAAAATTTTAATGTTGACAAAAAAAAAGTTATTAGAGAGGTTTATTTCTATATTTTCTCTTACAAGAGTCTACATTTAACATTATTTTCACATTATCAGTTACTCTAGGTCATCTCCTTTATAGTAAAACTCA